TCTCTCTTTCTCTCTCTCTCTCTCTCTCTCTCTCTCTCTCTCTCTCTCTCTCTCTCTCTCTCTCTCTCTCTTTCACTCTCTCTCTCTCTCTCTCTCTCTCTCTCTCTCTCTCTCTCTCTCTCTCTCTCTCTCTCTCCCTCTCTCTCTCCCTCTCTCTCTCCTCCCTCCCTCCCTCCCTCCCTCCCTCCCTCCTTCCCTCTCTCTCTCTCTATCTATCTCTCTTTTTCGAACAATAGAAAGAATAACAGAACTCGATGGCTTTGAAAAGAGGACGTAGGCCAAGGACAGCCACAGAACTCGGTCCATTCATCTTCTGCGGGAATTATATCCAGTTTATATTACATCTGACTTTCGTATTACTCAAACTTACGTCATCTGGGTATTTCTTATCTTGGCACGTAATGAGGTGATGTAACATTAAGAAGATCGTGATAAAAGAAATCGTCATATAACGTATAAAGTCGAACTGATCCCAATACATTCATTAATAGAACTGTTATAATGCCATAATACTAGATATCTAATTATTAATAGAAACCCTGAGAGGATTCACTGACCTTATTCATGCTTGCAAAACACTGCTTACCAGACATGCGCAAAGTAAGGCAGACACACACGAAGTTAAAGTTCACTGAAATAGCAGAGTATCTTGAAGCACTGTTGCAAAAATGAACTAAGGAGGATATTTTAGCTTAGATTTGTGCGCATTCGTAAGAAGGATCATATTTCAGGAAAATCGATATATTTAATTTCTGAACTTGTGGACAATGCGGTAAATATAATAAAGATTCTTGGTTTGGGCGGGAATTTCCTGTCGAATGTGGCGATGAGATACCGTAGAGTTTTCGAGCGTCGCGCATTGACAGTCCGTTTTTATTTATTAACTATCCAGATACACAGTATAATTCTATACCGTATATATACCTCACAAATATATATATATATATATATATATATATATATATATATATATATATATATACATATATATATATATGAATTTGAAGAAAAACAAAAGTGTGTTTTTTTAGTACTTTGGAAAATCACTTTTAAAATCTCATTTCTTCCTAGTATTGTCAGTGGACATTGTTCCGTTTATGATCATCAAAACCAATCAATACCAACCCAAGATGAAAATCTACACAAACAAACAACGAGTGACTAATAGAAACCAAAAATTCCCATTTCCGGACAAAGAAGCAACATAAATCTGAGTCATGCTATTGCTTAACATTACCGGTCACATCGCGCCTTGAAATGACGACCCTAGTTCATATTTTGCCCATTGGGTCTAACGTTCATTCTCGTCGCCGCACGCAATCCTCGCGGCCTGTGACGAGATCCGAATAATTGTGCAGAATTACTTACACGAAGTAAATACCGTGAATATCTTCTATCTTCTTTGTGTATTCTTTATCGACTTACTGAATACGATAACTTGGTTAACGAAAGTATTTTTGTTACTCATGGTTCTTTGTTGTTGCGCGTCGTTGGGTATTCGGACATCATTTTAATTTCTTCGTCACATACTACGTTACCATCTAAAGCCTCCACGTGCGAAAAATACATGAAGTCTAGCTGCAAGCTCTTTGAATAGCCCAAGTTTGCACCCGATATATCTCTAAAGAAACGCTTGACGTCATCATCAGCGTCTTGGTTAAAGAAAATGGGTGAGGTATAGCAGGTGCCCGCCAGGTCTTTGATCCGGGTGTTGGGGTCTCAGCCTCCGTTCCTTCCCCTACACCCACCTCCTCCTCCTCCTCCTCTCCTCCTCTCCTCCTCCTCCTCCTCCTTCTCCTCCTCCTCCTCCTCTCCTCTCCTTCTTCTTCTTCTCCTCCTCCTCCTCCTCCTCCTCCTCCTCCTCCTCCTCCTCCTCCTCCTCCTCCTCCTCCTCCTCCTCCTCCTCCTCCTCCTCCTCCTCCTCCTCCTCTCCTCCTCCTCTCCTCCTCCTCTCCTCCTCCTCCTCCTCCTCCTCCTCCTCCTCCCACTCCCCTCCTCCCCCCTTTCCCCAGTCTCGTCTTCCTCCTCTTCCCCCCCCTCCCCCCCTCCCATTCCTCCCTTCTTCTCCCTCACCTCCATAGTAGCTCTTCCACTCGCCGATGTCCTCCCCCCGGCATCGAACTAATTATTTCACGCTCTTTATTTCCAGTCATATGTGTTTCTGTCTAATATTTACGTCACCTTTTATTTTTACACACACGATTCCGTCATTTTAGGGCTTTCTGTAAACGCAAAAAATGGTGGAAAAATCACTCAATGAGTTCTCTTGCGCACACTTGGCACATGCGCGCCGGCAACAATCGATGCGATTTTCTTGTTTTATCTTATCATTATTTCCTGTCGCTTCTGGGATGCCCACTTCTTCACTCCACTATTAAAAAAGGCGCAAAAATATTCAATGTCCGATAATACATACATTTCGCAGCATTAGTGCAAATAATAGATGGTAAAAATGTGAAAAACAGATGCCTGCCGTATGCACCTGCGCTATGCGGGGAGGGAGACGCTTGGGAGGAAGAGCCAGAGGACTTCAAACGGTCATGGCTGAGTGTGGTGGACGGGTGTTGTGAGTCGCTCTCGGATTATTAGAGATAATCTGTGGTAAGTGTGTGTTCCGTGCGTCGAATGTGCAAGAAATGGAAGGCGGAAATTCCGATCCGTGATTCTTAAGTGATGGAATAACAGTGACGACGGCGGGAACGAAAATGTGAAGTGAAACATAGATGGCAGTGGCGGCAGAATCGGTTTTGGTACCTGCTGTGGTTGTTACCTTGTGCTGGGTGGGAGGAACACGCATTTCCTTGTGTTCGGGGCGCTTTGCCAGTGCAGTCTGTGTTTCCATGTGTTGCGAACAAGGTGGAACGGCGAGCGGAGACAGAAGCGAAAGCAAGTGGTGCGCAAGTGAAGATAGAAAAAGATTTTTTTGTGTGAAAATTGAACTCCCTCGGTAGTGTGACCTCAGTGAGGGCAAGAGGGAAGCAGGTGGGCACGCTGGAACATGCCCAGGTGCTCAGGGCATTTCATACCTCGAAATACCGGCCTGCTCAAGGAACTGAAGATAGACTCAGCGGAATTCACCCTCGCCGAAGGCCTTGTATAACGCAAGCGCGGTCGGAAAATCATTTTTGGATCCATCCCCCCCTTCCTCTGTATTTTGATAAAGGGAATTTACGCACACCATTCGCATTTCACCTGGCGAATGTGGGATTGTAGAGATCGGGGTAGTTCGTTTACAAGCAGTGTGTATTGATTTATTGCCCGACTTTTATTGTCCACTATCTGTGCTGGGTCGACATGGGTCACTACTCCTCATATTGAATATAATTTTGAGCTTTCCCTCCAAGATATAGGATAACTTTCATTCTTTTAAAACTAGTTGAATTTATGTAGTTATACAGTTCCGAAGTAAATTGTTAATTTAAATTGTTTTTTTCTCAATTGTGAGAAACTCTATCATGTGATGAATGAACTCATTCACCAAACCGGCATGGCCCCTCACGCATAAGATATATTACCGCATGCTTAATATATCGTAAAGCATGTATAATGTATTGAATGCAGGAGCCCCACCATTCCTCCAGATACTAATGTTCTTTCTTTGTTCTTTTCAGATTGTTAAGGCTATGAAGTGGAGTGTTGTGGTTTTAGGGTGTTGTGGAATGTTGCAGTGAAGTGTGTTGCGATGGACGGTACAATGTTGCCTCGCAGTGTGTTGATACGGCGTGCAGCTGTAGCCCTGGTGGCTGCAGTGGCCGTGGTGTGTGTGAATGCCGAGGTGTTGCCTGAAATTATGTACAGTGTGGCAGTGCCGCACGATGTGGCACCCGCTCACATCGTTCACAAAATCAAGTTGAAAGAGGGACAGGTCGTGAACCGGTTGATGGATACTCAGTACTCCGATTACTTTGCGGTGTTGGACAACGGCGAGGTGATGACGGTGGCCAAGCTGGTGCCGCTCCTGGGGAAGACGGTGACCCTCCGGGTGGCGACCACCTTCGAGGACGGGGACAGCCAGGTCTATGTGATCAGGGTCGCCGTCAAGGACCACCAGAGCATGCTTCGGTTTCTCAAGCCAGAGTACGACGCCAGCGTGTACGAGAGTCTGCCCGCGGGCACGGAGTTGCAGGGCCTCGACGAGCTGGAGGCCATGGGCGAGGAGGACGTCAAGTACGAGTTGCTGGGCGGCCACTCTGTATTTGCGCTGCACCACGTGGGCGGCATCCCGACGGTGGTGACCCGCAAGAGTCTGGACCGGGAGGCGCAGGACATGTACAAGCTTACCCTGCGCGCCCACGACAAGGAGGGCATGGACATGGCGGAGGCCAAGATCAACGTCCACATCTTGGACATGAACGACCACGCGCCGGTGTTCACGCAGAACATGTTCTACTTCTTCGTGCCGCTCAACGTGACAAGGTTTGACAAGATCGGTCGCGTGACAGCTCACGACGGCGACGGCGACGTGGTGGTGTACCGCCTCGCCTACCCGTCCAACACGTTCACCATCGTGCCGCAGACGGGCGAGATCATGCTGATCGAGCCTCCGGAGACCATGGTGTACGAGCTCGAGCTGGAGGCCTTCGACAAGCGCAAGCCCACCCTGTACTCCGACACCCTGGCCAAGGCCCACATCGAATTCCGCTACCCCGGCGACTCCCTCTTCACCGGAGAGACCAACGACGTGGACTATGACCTGTACCCCGAGCACGCGCTCTCCAAGCGCAGTGCCACCAGGGTCAAGCGAGGCCAGCTCAGGCACACGAAGGAACTGGTGTTCTCCGAGGCCGACGGGGCCGTCGAGGGCAAGGTTGTGTTCCAACTCGAGAAAGAGATTCAGTGGGAAACGTTTAAGATCCGCGACGACAACCCCTGGGTCGAAGTGGACGCTAACGGTGCCGTGCGCGTCAAGAAGAAGTGGGACTACGAGGAGCTCGGTCCTGAGAAGACCATCGATTTCTGGGTGACCATCACTAACAACGATCGTAATGGTGAGTACAGACCCATCTTTATTTCCTCCTTCATTCAGAAAGGCGCGGCAAGAGTGCAGGCACCAACGAAGGGGCAGGTCAGCCAGTTAGAGAAAAATGACAAAAAAGCTAATAAAATCGGCTCGGTCACCTGTGCCCTTGCAGATCATTCAGACGAGAGAGGACTGTATTGTTGGCGCGAAGGGGTGGCTGGCGCTCGCGTTAAATGGTAGAGGAGGGTATTTGGGATGGGAGGGGGGGGGGCGGACTGACAACCGCACGACGCGATGAGACCAGTTTTTGTCCGTCTTACTCACAGCGGCCAGTCTGTCGTCCACATGGCGGTGGTGGTGACACTTGGGTTTCTGCCTCTCATCCTTTGTTTTCCCTTTTATTGTCTAGATATTGCCTATGTTCAATTTCAGCTTCTCCCTCGTAACGTAACCCACCTGGGAAAGAATCAATTCTGCTGTGTTGCAAGCGAGAGCGTGGTCGTGGGCTTTGATATCCTTTTGCAAGAAACAAGCCCCCTCCAGAGGCCACAGACCAATTTGTCGTTTTCATTTCCCCTCCCCTCCATTTCCGCTCCGCTACCTCTCTCTTCTCCCTCTCCCACCTCTCCCTCTCCCACCTCTCCCTCTCCCACTTCTCCATCTCTCTCTCCCTCTTCTTCCTCTTCCTCTTCATTTTCCCTGTCCTCTCTTCCACATCTCACCTCCCCCCACTCCTCCCTCATCTTTCCTCCCTTACCTCTCCCTCTCCTTCTCCCTCTCCTTCTTATCCCTCTCCTCCTTCTCCTCTTCTCCCGGTCTTTTCCCCTCTCTTCCCTCTCTTCTCCCCCTCTCCTTCTCTCTCTTCTCCCCCTCTCCTTCCCTCTCTCCCTCTCTTCTTCTCCCCTCTCTCCCTCTCTTCTTCTCCCCTCTCTTCCCTCTCCTCTTCTCCCCTCTCTTCCCTCTCCTCTTCTCCCCCTCTTTTTCTCCCCTCTCTTCTCTCTCCTCTTCTCCATCTTCCTTTTTCCTCTCTTCCCTCTCCTCTTCCCTCTCTTCCCTCTCCTCTTCTCCCTCTCTTCTTCTCCCCTCTCTTCCCTCTCTTCTTCTCCCCCCTCTTCCCTCTCCGCTTCTTCTCCCCTCTCCCCTCTCATCCCTTTCTCTCTTCCAACGGGTCGCGAAGGATCTCGGCTTAGGTCACCCACTTTCCCTCCTTGCCTCTCCTCGTTTCGTTTTTTTTTCTTTGAGCTCTCCATTGTGGATTTTATACTTATATATCCTGTGTGTGTGTGTGTGTGTGTGTGTGTGTGTGTGTGTGTGTGTGTGTGTGTGTGTGTGTGTGTGTGTGTGTGTGTGTGTGTGTGTGTGTGTTTAGTGTTTGTGTGTGTGTAGTTTTTGTAGTGTTTGTAGTGTAGTGTTTGTGTGTGCATGAGCGCGCCTGCCTCTTGTTAGTCTGTCTTTGTCACTGTCTGTTGTGTTTTGTATCTGTCTGTCTTGCCTGTCTGTTAATGTATGTATATAATTCATGTAAGAGATTGGAAAGGATTCACATGTCACCATCCTCGATGCTTCCTTCTTTATTTCCCTTGACACGGCATTGATTGGAAGAGATGTGGAGCAGAATGTTTTCAGAAAGGAAGAGGGACGTCGAAGGTTATCATCAAAACGGAGTTAAAGGAAGAGAGAGAGAGAGAGAGAGAGAGAGAGAGAGAGAGAGAGAGAGAGAGAGAGAGAGAGAGAGAGAGAGAGAGAGAGAGAGAGAGAGAGAGAGAGAGAGAGAGAGAGGGAGAGAGAGGGAGAGAGAGGGAGAGAGAGAGGAGAGAGGAGAGAGGAGAGAGGAGTGAGAGAGAGAGAAATTGGAATGAATGTCAATTAGCTTTGTCATTATCCGGCCTCTAATTGCTTGTGCTTGGCGTTTGCACAACGTACGCGGGGTTGACTCAGCCGCGTCCCCAAGCTAAACTGAGCGTCGCCCTCGGGTCTCCGGGTATTTGCTTGCGGGTTCCCTCATGCCACTTGGCGCTGATCTACTCTGCTGTTTGCCCTGGCTTGACCCGGGTAATTAGCAGTAAATTCGGTCCACTTGCCGTTTTCTTTTTTGTTTCCCTTTGGCAAAGGTCAGGGCAATTTTACTAATGTTTACCCGGCGAACTGCCATGGCTCGCCACTCGCACAACACGAGATGTCACACCGACCGAGGTCATAGCAGGAGGCGTGAGTAAACAGGGCCGGATAACTTTTTATTTGCGAGGTAAACGTTTGTCAGTCTTACTTTTTTTCACTTGCTCTTTTCTTTTTTCTTGATTTTCTCTTTCTTTTCTCTTTTTCTTGATTTTTTTCTTTCTTTCTTTCTTTCACTCTCCCTTCTCCATCATGCTCCTGTTCTTCCTTCCTCCCCCCCCCCTTCTCTCTCTCTTTCTCTCTCTTCTCTCTCTCTCTCTCTCTCTCTCTCTCTCTCTCTCTCTCTCTCTCTCTCTCTCTCTCTCTCTCTCTCTCTCTCTCTCTCTCTCTCTCTCTCTCTCCCTCTCTCCTCTCCCCATTCCCTCTCTTCCAAGACATCTTAACTCACCTTTACTATCCTACCTTCACCCCCCCCCCCCATTCTTCCCTCTTCTCTCCACGCAACCCTCTGGCTTCAACCAGATTTCCTTTTATCATCATCTTTCCCTTCCTGTCTCCTCTGTTCTCAAGTATTCCTCCTCCTGCTTTTAGTTCGACTCGAGGGAAATCTTTATAAAAGACAGTTCATTTCGGTATTAAGCCGCATGCATAATGATAGTGTCTGGCTTACATTTTCCACATTTTTTTTTTCCTTTCTGGTGTTGGTATCAAAGGAAATGGTGTCCAGGAGGGCGTTGTAAAGCTCGGGTCGGCGGCTTAAGGAGATTATATATACACTTTTTTTATCTGTTGTCGGTGTGTAGTGGTATGTTGCCCCAGCGTAAGCCGATACGAGCGTCGGGCATATCCCCCCGACAGCTAGATTGACCCTTAACACCTGGTGCCGTAACTGGTCTCCCGCAATGCCAACGACACTGAGTCAAGTATTCCAGGGTAACGCGATATCGACGTGACTCTCCGGCACGCTGGCGAGGTCACGAAGGTCAGAGCGAGGTCATCAAGAGGTTACCGGAAACAACCGTCACGGTCCTACCGGCGCGAGGGGCTTTGGGTAGGGGGTGGGGGTAGAGGTGGGGGGAATAAGCTCTGTTAAGTGTCGGCGGGAAAGCCGTGCGGCGAATTCGCGATGCAGCGGGTTTCCTTTTCTCCACTCCTGTATCCCTCAGCACTACCACTGCTCCCCTCAACCATTTACTTGTGTTTGGCGCTTGTAGTTACAGTAAAGGTGGTACCCTCTTCTATCCCCCGTAGTTAATGCATCACTCACTCACACAAGGACACAATATTCTTTTCTTCGGGCAAGTAGCTCTTTCATCCCCACCTCCCCGTACCTTCTCCTTTCCCTCTGTTTCCTATTCCTCCTTCCATGCCTCTTCTCCCTATTCACTGCTCCCCTTCCTTTTTCTCTCCACTTCTCATTACTTCTACACTACTTTTCCTCCCCTCCTTCTCCCCCTCCTCTTTTCCGCTCCCCACTCCTCTTCCTCTTACTCGTCTCCTCCTTCTCTTCCTTCCCTTGCTCTTCCTCTTCTTTCCCGTGTCCTTCCTCTCCCTTCCCTTGCTTTTTCTCCTGCTCCTCTCCCCCTCCTCCTCCTGCTCGCCCTCCTTCCCCCGTTCTCCTCCTCCCCCTTCTCCTCCTGCTCTTCCTCCTTCCCCTGTTCTCCTCCTCCTCCTCCTCCTTCCCCTGTTCTCCTCCTCCTCCTCCTCCTCTTCCTCCTTCCCCCTCCTCTTCCTCCTCCTCCTTTTCCTCCTTTTCCTTTTCCTCCTCCTCCTCCTCCTCCTCCTCCTCCTCCTCCTCCTCCTCCTCCTCCTCCTCCTCCTCCTCCTCCTCCTCCTCCTCCCCCCCTCCCCCTCCTCCCTCCCCTCCTCCTCCTCCTCCTCCTCCTCCTCCTCCTCCTCCTCCTCCTCCTCCTCCTCCTCCTCCTCCTCCTCCCCTCCCCCTTACTCCCCTCCCCTTTACTCCCCTCCACGCCTGGTCCTCGACCTTGCCTCTCCTCTTCAGGATAAAAATGGAAAGGGGGGACAGGCCGAGGGCGTGAGCGAGGAGCCCAATATGCTGATGGCCGGCACCGCATCCTTGCACACATTGTTGTTGTTTGGTTGCAAGTGGAGAGGAGCAAGGGAAAAAAAAAGGCGTGGAGGGAAATGAAAAGAAATGCGAGGATTCTGGGTGAGATGGATGACGGGAAAGGAGAGGGAAGTATATGTATCTTTATTTTTAAATGTGTGGTAAATGAGTGGAGGACGAGTGGTAGGTGGTAGGTGGCGAGACTTGAAATGGGTTAAGGGGATAGTGAAGAGAAAGGTGATTGATGTTTTGAGAAAATTGGTAGAGAGGGCGAGGGGGAGAAGGGAAGAGAGGTAGAGAAAAGGGGGAAAAAATGCAACTCAAGACTATTGCAAGTCGGCGCAATGCGGCCTGATGTTCGCAAGCCTCTTTCATCTCGCGGTTGCATTTTTTTCCCCCGACTTATTTGTTGCGCTTGTGTGAGTCAGCCAGCCTTTCGGACGTTGCTTTCGGCCGGGGGTCAGACGGAGACGAACGCGCGCCGCAGTTTCAAGATGTCCTCTCTCGTCGCGGAATTTATTTCTTTGATGCCTTTACCTGTTTGTGCAAGTCGCCCAGTCGCCCTTTGTGGAGCGGTGCGCATTCTTGCCGCTATTCTTACTGAAGCCCAGCCCCCCCCCCACCTCCCCCTAGCTGGCCGTGGCACTGGCAAAAGGCCTTGTATTATTGCTAACGGGCTCTTCGGAGTTTTCCCAGAACCTCCATTATCATAAGCTTTTCCCAGTGTGAATCACACTGGCGGCGCCGGTCGTATGCTCCTGCGACATGGCTTCTGGGGGTGCTCGTATTCTTCTTGCTTTAGCATTCGTTTTGTTCTGTCTGCTATTCTATTTTTATCTCTTTAA